CAGTAAACAGAACAATTGGAGGCCATGTCTTTATCCTCTGTATCTTCAGCATCTACATCACGTTTAGCATGTGGGGGGCACTCAAAAGAATGAATAAACTAAGGATGACATGAACAAACAGCTTTAGCAAATTAAAAAAAAATACATAAAAATAACCACAACTGAAATTCATTTAGTCGGTATATGTTTTAAGACCAAAGCTGGTATAGGTGAGATCACACATCATTTTAACTAACCATGGAGGCTCTGATATCTTAAGAATCAAGGACTAGTTTGAGTAAAGTTTTAGCCTTCCACATTTTTCAGGTGACAGGAAGAGATATTTATTCCTCCATAATAAATGGCAATGACAAAAAATATAGTGTCATTGACCTTTCTCATGCTTTAAGTTGCATTTTCTTCCTGCATCTTCTGGACCCCACAAAGTGCCATATATTAGCATTATTTTATCATTTTACTGATATTATTAAGACTGTATTCTACCTAGTGTTCAAGCCATTCTTTGGCGGCAAATTATATTAGAGACATTTGTATTTATTCAGTCCACTAAGGACACCAGGAGCATCTTATATCTTACTGCTCTTGTGACTGTGTTAGCCTGAAAAAGATAATTTTGTAAGAAGTATGCATTATAGCTATGTTTTTAAAGCTCAGAAGAGCCTTCTCTTGTGTTTTCCTTGTATTAAGTGATTGGAATGTAATACAAATTTGATTCCTATCAATATGGAGCTTTTATTCAGAACAACTCTACTTAGTTAATAGCTATTTAGTTAGATAACTACTTTACATATTTAATTAAAAACTACCTTATCGAGAGCAACTTCCATATTAGCAACCTTTTCTTTCAAACGGCGTTCCTGAGATTTCAGGACTTCTAGTTCTCCAGCCATCTTGTTTTTCTCTGTCACAACAGTACTCAGTTCTTGGCTTAATTTAGTCTTTTCTTCTTTTAGAAAATGTTTTTCCTATAATTATAGAGGAGAAAATATCAGAAATTATATGCTGATATAGATGCTGAGATATGATGAAAATATTAAACTGTTATCTAAAAATCTATCTGAATTACAGTTGAATTCATATGCCATTTAATTGCTTCTGAGTTGGAGTTGGGAGCTCCTAGAATTATGTTACTATGTACTCTTGTTTTTATCACTATTGGTACTATTACTTTTTTCTAAGCTTAATAAATCTTTGATAAAACTTACAAAATATGTAATAACTATATTGTCATAAAAAGAAACAGCATATAGTAAATTGAGACTGAGTAATCACATACCAAATTTTATTGAAACTTGTTTAAAATAACAGAAAAGATTTAAAGCAGATGAATTTATGTAACTGCATGCAAACTTCATTTCTTTAATATATTTTTTTCTCTGATTCAAGCTGGTTTTGCTGGATAATGGCATTGTGACTCACTTGCTACTTTCCACCCTTATCTTCTGTGTGCTGCTTCTTTAATCATTAAACTTTAGGACATAAGATTAACAAGCCTCCGGTCATGAGGACAACGGGTTTTGGTTGAACTCTAGACTAAGGATAACATCCTGGCTTTAGATGTGTTTCAGTCCCAGGCTCATTGAGGCAGAACTACCCCACCGGCCACAGGACCAGAGGGATGGTGCCATGGACCGGACACAATGATCAATTACCTCAAAGCCCTCCAATCCTCCAATTAGTAGCATACACAACCCAACTCCCTTAGTTTCCATGACTACTGATTTTTCCCTATATAATCTGCACTCTCAAGACACCTGGAGAGCCAGGCCTTTGAACGATAGCTCGCCTGTGTCTTCAAGACTCGCAGTTCTCTGATAAACTTTACTTTCTTTGCTGCAAAACCTGCACATATTTCTTTTTTGGCTTAGATACACACAGGCAGACGGACCCCTTTTTTGTCCCAATAACATTTATTTGAAAGTTTTATGGATTTTTATTTTGTTTCATGGTTGAATGTTCATTTCACAGAGGTCTACTGCATTTCCCTTGACATAAAAAGAAATAGGATACTCAGTTCCTGCTCTCAAGTCACTTATAGTCCAGAGATGAGAAGGAATTTACTAATATATTTACAGAGTCTTTGGTATTCAATAAAATTTCATTAAAATTAGTTCATTTCTTTAAAAAACATCATGGAATAGGTAGACAAAAAGAAATGTACAGTAGTCAAGTTAAAATACAGACCTCGACTTACTGAGTTTATATTTCTTTTATATTTTTTTCAAAGAGAAAATGTTTATGGTAACAAGGTAGAAAGTATTGCCATTTTAGTGCACATTTTGAATGCAAATAATTCTTCCTTTTCTGATTAGTTAGCAGAAAAGCCTTCAGAAAGAAAGAGGGATTAATTTTACAAGCTGCTTCCTTTCATTTTAAGGGAATGTCATTGAGCTTTGATGAATACCTTCCTTTAGCAGGGGTAGGCATCTCTGATGCTAGCAGGCACTACCTTTTAATGCCCTTTTTAGTATCCTCAGGGAGGATGAGCAGGAGCACTGCTTTAGGTTCCAAACAGGCAAATAATGGGTGAAGAAAACGGAAAGATTTAGGAAAAGAGAAAAGGAGGGGAGAAAAAAATAGGAAAGAAAAAAGAATACGTTAAGTCCATATGACGAGGGGAATGTTCAAATGTATGCACATATTTGTTAATATTTAGCCTCATTCTAAAAGAGTATGTCCGAAGCTCATTTTGGGTATGGGGAAAAAGCAAGTTCTTTAGTTGCACTTATTATTTTGTACTTATGCTTTTTACTTTCTCACCTTCATTACGGTCAGTTCTAACTCTTCTGTCAAAAATGCAAATTTGTTCCAAAGTGTGATACAGCAGAGAAAATTTGAACGTAATAAAAATTTCACATTTATTCATACAGTTCCATTTATGAGAAATACAAGATCAATGTAGAAAACTGCACTCGCTAAACAGAGTTGCATAGAAATACACAAAAAGCATACATCCACTCGTCAAACGACTGTCAGCTACCACGGCTGACTTTGTATTATGAGCCACATCCAAGCACATCTGGTGTTTCAGAAAAACCCGCCTTCTACCCCTTCATAATAACTCACAAGCTGCAACCTTTCAATGCACACTTCCACAAGCAAACTTTAGGTCTTTTTTAAGATAAAGGGCCAGAGTTATCGTAGTATAATTAACCATAGAACATGTGTAAAACTGTGCTACCATTTTCATTAGGTTCCTATTTTTTTGTCATGAAATTTGTTAGTGTGGTGCTCCTGACCCATTGTTCCATAGGCTGTCAGTTTTTACTGCACAATTTTGCAGAGCACAGTGAATTTAGGAACACATGTATTGTAATATAGCGAAACTGTGCTTTGTTTATAATCACTCCCTGTCTCTATCAGGAATTTCCTTTTCTCCCATTTCCTGCATTTAACTATTTCAAGATTCTGCTCAAACATTTCTTCAGGAACCTTTTCCTCATTTTCTCAATCAGAAATCACCTCTTCTCATTTTTCCACTATACTTTTAAAAAAAATCTCTGGTATGTCTCATTCTGTTTTGTGGTGTATTAACGAGTGGACATATTGGCTTCCTCCACCCTGAGGACAAGAACTCACCTTATTTGCATTTGTCATTGCCTCTTCCAAAAATTGTATCTTGCTCTGAAGGGCGTCTATCTGACCTCTTTTAGCTGTGATTTGCTTTTGCATCCCCATTGCCACTTTCATAGCTGGAAAAAAAAAAAGAAGTAAACTGCGCCTTCGTTTTTAGAGTTAATAAATTTTGAGACATTACTATAATTTGATGGTTAAAAATTATGAGGTGACAAAATTCTCCAAGGCACATGAACAATTTTAAAGTAATGATCACAGAAAAAGGTCTTCATATTTCACAATATCTGGATTTTAAATTTTTCACGAAATTTCAGCAATTACTCAGAGATTTTGAGCTGAGAAACGTGTGTATGTGTGTGTGTGTGTGTATTTGTGATATTGTGGTTTCCTTGCTACAAGAATTAATTTCACTGACCACTGTAATCTATCATATCTCTGATATGGTATGGTAAATAATACAGACCAAATTCATACTCATAGGAAATATATACATAAAAATAGTCATAATAATGAATAATACATATATTTTACTAAAATAATTTTTCTAGAAACTCATATTTAAAATAGCACACAAAGCACCTACTATTAGTGATCTTTTGAAAGATTCCAGTGATATCATAAACCATTCCATTTTTATTCATTCTCACGGTTATTGTCATGTGCTGGGAATCTACTACTGTTTCAATAGTTAAATCGGCAGCATAAGCATATACATGATTATTTTAGTAAAACTGGTGACAGGATGAGAATGTTCTAGACAGGTAGTAGGCACTGAATACTTAAGACATGGCGGGCTATTGAAAAAGTATATGAAGCTCATCCTTGCTTGGAAATTCAAAGTCGGAGACTGTATGTCAGCTGAGGAAAGAGATTTGAAAATGCCACTGCTTTGAGTCAGGTCTAGTTACAGCTTAGAGGTTAAAAATGAAAAAGAAAATGTACCGTTCTTTAAAAACAAACTATCAGAGAGAAGGAAAGGTCTGATTTTTTGTTAACAAAATATAATTCCTACAGCTAAACTGTCAAAAACAGGGTTAATACAGGCACAGTACATTGATATATTAATAGATCAAAATTCTGATATCATTTGCTGACCACTCTGAAGAATTCTGGTCGGATTAAGAGAATCATGGTTGTCCTGCAAAGGTGATTTTATTAAATAAATCTTTTTTTATTTTAAGATGATTTTAATCGATAAAAATAAGCATTTGAATGTAGATACAGGATTACTTAGTTAATTTAATAACTGTAATATGATTGGGGCGGTTGTGGAGATGCGTGGCGGGAACCAAGGAAGGGAATCTGTCTAGTGGAGGGGGAAGGAGGAGACAAATCTTAAACAGGTCTCCTGAGTGACCTCGCCAAACCCCACTATTTTCTTGGTGTTAACCAGCAAAGGAAGAGCTAAACCTCAGAGAATTGCACAAAATATGGACTGCTTCAAAAATCTGCATGCCATCTTTGTGTGGGGCCATAATAATCTTCTCTGTGTTGTTCCAGTTTGGGTATATGTATTGTTGAAGCGAGCACAAAAATAAATCTTTTGAAATTAAAATACATTGAGAAATATAAAAATGTTGACTTAATATTTATTTTTAAAGTCAGCTAATACAGCCAAACAATGATATGAATAATATGAAACGGCGAATAACCTTCTCTCTCTGAATTAATATGGGCAGCGAGGTAAAAAGGATCTAAGTAGTGAAAGGGATCCCCTATCCTGGCAGTTCAATTCCCAGGGCTCCTTCCCATTTTTGTCACAGAGAAGTAATCACGAACTGACAATTAGCCACAGATGTACATTGACCCTTGAAAAAACATGGGTTTGAACTGAGTGGGTCCACTTGTACATGGATTTTTTTCAATAAATACTATAAATGTATTTTCTCTTCCTTAAAATTTTCTTACTAAAATTTCCTTTATTCTAGCTTACTTCATTATTAGGATACTGTGTATAACACATATAACATACAAAATAAGTGTTAATTGACTTGATGTTATCGGTAACATTCCGGTCAACAGTAGGCTGTTAGTAGTTAGGTTCTGGGAGAGTCAAAAGTTACATGTGGATATTCGACTTCTCAGCGCTGGTTGCCCCCAATCCGCATGTTGTACAAGTTTATGTACAAGTTTATGTACAACATGTTATGTAGATAATGAACATGAAAAATAAGAGGTTGAATGAAAATTATCGGTAATTTGTATTTATAACACTTTCTTAAAAATAACTAATTGGCATTTACAGACATTGAAACCTGTTAGAACTTATTGAAATGCCTATAGAAAAAAGAAAGATTCAAATACTGAGGGATTAAATTAAGCAAATGGCAACTTTCCTAAAACAAACTGAATAGGACTACTGCTATACAAAACCCATCACTGATATTTATTACTATATATCTTCCATATCAGGTGACACTGTAAAGGCGTTGCAGGCAATGTATCTAGGTTTATGCTATAATAAATCTAGACCAACAGAGTTAAAAACAGAAGAAAAAAATCTAATAAAGCATACCATGACCATCAGATCCTTCCATTGACTTTAACGTATTTCTTGTTTGTTCTAGCTCAGACTGTGCAGATTTTAATTGCATTTTCAGCTTATTTGTAGTAGTTTCCATTTCTTCACTTTTGTTTCGAAAATTCCTCTTTAAGACCTCATAGTCTTCTGTACAATGTGATAATCAATAATAAATGGTTACTTTTTCTATCCCATTGTTATAAAGTATATTTTGTTTGTAATTAACATGACAGAATTTTAGAGTTGGAAGGAACTTCATATAGTTACATTATCATTTGTTACAGAAATTAGATGTATGTACATACTTCTGTTGATTCAATCTCCAAAACATATTCTTAATTCTTCCTTTTCCTTTCATTCTCACTGCCACTGCCCTAGTTCAAGTTTTTATGACATTTCCCTATGTCCCTGCAAAATTCTCTTTAACTGGCTGGCCTCTATCCCTTTAGTCTTGCCTTTCTCTATTTACCTGCTGAAACTATCCTTCTAAAATGTAAATTTGATGTCGACAATCTCTTACTTAGTCTCTTTTGCTGGTTCCACATTGTCTGGCTCTGCCTATCTATTCTGTTTCATTTCTTAGTCCTCATTCCTTTGCACTTTTACTCCAACTAATACTTCTGAAGTCACATTACGTTATTTCATTCTTTATGGTTTTGCCCGTAATGTTCTCTCAGCCTGGACTGCTCTTCCACCTCTTTTCCCTGTCCTCCTTCAAGCCTAGTACAGATGTCACCTCCTGTAAGAGGCTGATTCTCTTCCCTCACCTACATCTGCACCGAGTACATGTCCACTGTACTGCATCCCTTTCTGTATAGTCAGGTTCCCAACTAGCTGGGAGTCTCACTGTGGTGTTTCTAGGGCCTATCACCGTATGTGGTAGTAAATGCTCAGGAACCACTGACTTTGTGTGTGTGTGATGTGTTTGTGTGGTGTGTGTGAAGCAAATGATACCTGTGCCATACTAATGATGAACAAGAAGCGTTTCATAATTAAATTTAAGGACTTGGATTTTCCCTTTCAAGAAATTTGCATAAGTCTGTTTACACATGTTGCTTCATCATTAAACCTCTAACCAAGGTATTCGACTCAAAGGACTCAAGATTTCCACTTCCCTCACCCTTCTCTTAGAAACTCAGTAAATTATCTCATGGACTCTGAGGGCTGACTAAAACTAACAGTTAATAAGTACAAGACATGTAAGCTCTTCAGGTCGAAGTATCAGGATTTCAGGGGATAAAATATCTCCATTGGGACAGCATAATTAATTTCTATTTGTAATGTGGGACGAGGAACCATTGCAATAATCCTTTTGCAATAATCCTAGTATTCCACACTGAACCTCACTGATATGACTATTTTTATTATTATTTTTTTTTTAGTAGAATTTGAACTGAAATAGCATACCTGTAAGACTGTTTAACTCATTCCTACCAGTTTTCACCTCATTTAACAATTGATCTCTCTCTTGTTTGATGTCCTTCACTGCACGGAGCCGCTCAGAGCCTGCATTCACCAGCTTCACCTTTTCCAGCTCCAGGTCACTCACTCTGGCCTCAAGCTCTCGTATCTTTGCATCTTTTTTATCTTTTAAAATCTAAATATAAGGATAAATACAAAAGACAGAATAAGAAATAAAAAATATGTACATGTATAGTTATAACTGATGTTGTCTTAATATCCTATCTCTATCTATATATCTGAATCTATATCTATATAAATGTCTTTTCACTATTTCCCAGGATATTAAATTTGTATTTTATTATAAAGCATCTATAGAGTAAATGGGAAAACAAAAGGAATATCCTACCTATCTTTTAACCCTAGATGTCAATTTAGCATGTAGTCATGCCACTATCCACATGTGACTACTGAGTTCTTGAAATGTGGCTAGTCTAAGTGGGGATATGCTATAAGCGTAAAATATACCAGATTTCAAAGACTTAATATTTTTCAAAATGTAAAATATCTCAATTTCTTATACTGATCGCAATATTAAAATGTCACTATATTTTGGATATACTGAGTTAAATAAAAATATGTCATTAATTTTATGTTTCTTTTTATGTGTCTACCAGGAAATTTAAAATTATAAACGTGGTTGACATATTTCTAGTGGAACCAGCTTAGATTGTTCTAAGCAAATGCATTTGAAAACAAACTATTTTGGTTATCAGACTGCCCCCTCAAATTAAGGCCCGTTTGCCTTAAATATAATACAGGCATACCTCATTTTATTGCACGTCACTTTATTGTGCTTCACAGAAGTTGCGTTTTTTAAAAACTGAAGGCAAGACCCTCCACCAGCGTAAAGATCACGACTCTTGCTTTATTGCGAACTTCACTTTACGGCAGTGGTCTGGAACTGAATCCGCAATATTTCTGTGGTATGCCTGTCCTAGCAGTTTGACTGTATAAGTTTAAATGTACAGACCAATGTGATATTTGAAATGTAAACAGGTGACAAATTTTTAACTGTTTCAAAAAGAATCAGTGGAGAGTTGTAGGCTTGTCTCACTGCCCACCTGTGATGGCTTGGACAGTAAAGGCCCTCAACAAGGCTATGTGACCCTGCTTGCCTAGCCACACTCCTGGTGGTTGTCACACTATAGCTGGCCTCACAGGGTCAGGGAGTGGGAGGCCTTCCCCTGGGAAGAGCCTGAGTAATCACAGCACGTACTGGGTATGTGCTACTCCTGTCCCACCTCCTGGGAACAGCTGATGTATACTCAGTCCTTTCTTAGTCTTGTAAGGAAGAATTTGGCTTTGAGGACCTGCATTATTGAAAGAAAGTTCACCCTGCTTCTCTGCTGTCGATGTGTGCAGGAACCGGCCTAAGCAGGTCAGAGAAACCATATCGTCTAGGGCTAGGACTCCCTTCCTTTCTTCCTCACTGCATTGTGGAGGGAAGTGAATGTGGCATTGAAGTTCAAGTTCTTAATTTTTATTCTTTGCATCTGTGTGAAGCTCTTTTCAGCCAGGAAACATTTCCCTAAAGTTCTGCTCCTCCAGTTCCATATTTTGGAACTGAAAATTAGTTTCTACCCTCTCCGATACAACTGTGCATTCTTTACCAAGCTCCACTAGATTAGTCTACTCCCAACATTGCCCTTTTCATGTCACCTCCTTCTTTTTTACCAAAACCTTTAAGGGGTCCCACACTATCTCTGGGATTAAAGTATAGACTGAGCTTTTTTCCCATGCTAGGAACGCCACTTTTTTCTTCCTCTTTGCCTAGTTTTTACCCATTTTGATTTCCCGTGTCTCTGTGAAGCCTTCATGGGCCACTCTAGTCACAGTACTCCTAACTGCTCTGAGGTACTCTACCACTAGAACCTGACGTGCTCTCTAGACCAGCATTATGTGGAAATTTCTTTAGAAACAGTGTCAGGCCCCATCCCAGACCTACTGAGTCAGAAACTCTGGGGGTGGGGTCCAGCAGTCTGTTTTTTAACAAGCCTTCCAGTTGATTCTGGTTCTCAGTACTGGTGATGAAGAACTTCTGGTTCTCAGGTGATTGAGGACCACTGCACTGTACAGGCATAGCTCACTTCAATGCACTCCGCTTAACTGCACTTCACAGATGTTGTGGTTTTTTTTACAAATGGAAGGCAAGACTCTCCACCAGCCAAAAGTTTACAACTTGCTTCACAGCGATACTCGCTTTTTTGTGGTGGTCTGGAACCAAACCCGCAATATCTCTAAGGTATGGCTGTAACATTTACTCACACTGCTTAGGATCAAATCCCAATGTAGTGCTGCTCACAGGCAAGTTATTTAATGTCTCCGTGTCTCCGTTTCCTCATCTGTGAAACGGGATAATAATGTATCTACCTCGTGAGGTTTTTTTGAAGATAAAATTGATGTAAATTTTAGAGTGTAAGACTCAAAAGGATTCTTTCATTTGTTTATACTCTTAACGATATTTAAAAAATCCATCTCTTCTTTAACAAGAAGGTGGAACAATCATCTTTTTTCCTGTAATACGTTCTGCAAACCTAAAGTTTCA